ATGTTGCATACACCTATGTATTTATTATGCTTTAAGATATATTGATCAAAGTAGAATGAAGTAAAGCACAGACCTGCCAACCGTCATGATTTTGGTGTGAATTTCACGACTCTGGATAGCGATTCACTGATTCACACCACATAAAAAAAACCCATGAATTCCTGAATTCTCAGTAGGCTTAAATCCGGAAACGTTTATCCCTTTAAGTGCTCAAATCCAGAATAAAATAATGTTTATCCCTTTAGGTGCTAGTCAAGATAGCAGCGGTCATCACTTATGCCGATAACAGTCTTGTATGGCTTGTTGCGATCTTAGTGGAACTATATTCTGTTGTTACAGCATAAACTTTAGCAAGCATTGTGAAGTATATGAACTATATTTAGAACTGAAGTTTAAAAAATACTCATGAAGAAAAATGAAGCCAAACTTATCTCTTTTAAATTGCACATGTTCATTCTCATAGCAACTTCAATATTTTTTGGGGCCCAGAGTGGTCTAAAGTGCTGTGTGGAAAGGATTTTAATATTGTCATAGTGTAAAACAAAGACGCCTTGAGTTAGCTCGTTTTACTAACTCCAATACTAAGTTAACTTCTTTTTTACAACAGAACTAAAATGTGGAAATAAATTTTATAAATGCAAGGGCTTTATTTACCGATCGCTTAATAGAATACTGACTACAACTAGTGGTAGAATATAACTTTGGTCCTTTGTTCAAACGGATGCTTCCTGTTGACAAAATTGCAGAAAATATGTGTTTTGTACATATATGCATTGAAATTTAGTATGTAATATGTGGATTATGCTTTTTCTGCTCAGATTACTCCTTTTGTCCAATTGGATCACGATTTTCCTCTCCAGGGGTTAGCATGTATACAGTTCTAATTCATGATCACTGCCATTGTTGTTTTGCTGATAAGCAAAAGACAAACAATTTGATCTTCATGCATGTTTGTTAAAACACAAGCTGTAGATTTGTGTAATGGTCTAATATACTGATTTTCTCTCCTCAACCCACCACCACTCTCCACCCAAATAAAAAGGAAAAGAAAGATGTTAAAGAAATAAACCAACTTTATGTAAATTCAACAGATTAGACTAGCGACCTTATTGATCCATGTTTGATCAGAAGTAATACAAAACTAATTTACTTGACTACTGTAAACTATTTCAGCTTCATGAAGTGTACCGAAGTGTTTGTCAGAGGCAACAGATTGATAGCATAGACTTTTCCGAACTACAGGGTATCACTACACTGTTAGAAGCTAGGGGAATCTTTGGAATAAAGAAAGCAAAGGAAGCTAGAATGTCAAAGGTAAGTATCTCTCCATTTCAAATTAAAGGAAACAATAAACAAATTATTTATTTATGCATACTTCAACCTCAGGTTTTGACTTCAATGATTATATATAAGCAATTATTTAGAACTATTCAGTTATATAAATAAGACAATTTTCTAATCCCTTAAAAGAATTTGCTTCATTTTTTAAAAAATAATGTCTGTCAATATAAAATGTCATGTTATCTTGACACAACCCCTTCAGTGATCTAGTTTTCATGCTGTGCTTTGCCATGCAGATTTTGGACTACACCTGGGCAAATCATGGAAGATGCAGCATTGTGTAGAATTTTTCTTCTGTTGTATTATATCAAAAATTTTTAAAACGTTTAAACTTGTTTGGACTGTTGGTTTGCAATGTGGGATATCCGAGTTACAAACACGGATCTTGAGATGTCACTTAAGAGGAAACATTTTATAGCATTATGGTAATATATTTTATAAATTTTAAGCTGGGTATAGTGGCATTAGCATTAAGATTCTATATTAAAGATTTGCATTGTAGTTTTTGGGAGACAAGGGAAAACAGTACTTAACAAGTTAAAGGAGACACTGCATTGTTTGTACCTGTATAGAACCAAACAGACTCGTAATGATAATCAAAAATTGTTTTAAATTCCAGGTGACCTTGAAGCTAGATGAGAAAGAATTGGAACACACACTTCAAGACAAAGTACTTATGTCAACAATTTTGAAGCAAGGCTTGACAAAATGAATTGATGAAGAATAAATTTTTAATTTGACAAAATGAATTGATGAATAAATTTTTAATTCTTTGAATTAGGTTTGAAAAGCTACTTAAAACCTGTATGATGACAGATGTACATGAGATATTGAAAATGCTTTTATTAGATGCAGATCTTGGAGGAAGACCGTCATTCTGCAATTGATGATTGTTTTGAAATATTGGGGAATTATTTATTTAGAATTTTTTTAAGATGTAATCAAATCTCAATAACAGTATTAAGTGTTTCATTAAGTTTATGGTTTTTTTATCCATATACTCTGTGACATTCCTTGTCACTATGTAGATAAGTCATGTTTCAGTAAGTGTGCATGAGAAATATTTAAAAAAACAAGTATTATTTCTTGAGGAAATTATTAATTGATGATAGTGAAGAAGATTGAAACTCGGTTGTGACATGGTTATAGGAAAATTGGGTATCCCAGCTCTCACTTGTACAATTTTATTTACAATAACTGATGGAAACCCATCAATACAAAATCGAAATCATATTTTTAGTTGGTGCATTTTAAGAGGTACAATGTATATTGCTTATCCAGGCTCTTTGAGAGGCATGTCCAGATTATTTGCATAAATAAATATTAATATATGTAGAAATTGTGTATACAGAGTATACAGCTTTGGTCCCTAAGATGGAAACAACCTTACTCCTAGATTTAGATAATATGTGCATTATATTAAAGTCACTTTGTTATTGGTGCAGCATGAGTTACACAAGTATAAATTGCACTAGAATTGATTGTATTTGTCAACTAATGTGTTAATAAGTTGCATCTAAATGCAAACATCACACCATATCTTGCCCTTGTACAATGTGCTGGTATATCTGTCTATTCAGTTTGTTCTGAGTAATCATTAGGACAAACAGATCCTGATCTGTGTGTACATTATGCAACTGCAAATCATGGCCAATGCAGTTAATAGTTGGACTCAACTCATCATAAGTGTAAGTATATGGTACATTTATCCAAAACTCTATATGTGGTATTTGATTGGTGCCAAAAAAATGGAACGTTCAATATTGTATTTGCATTCAGTGCTTTCAGTTTGTCTTGAAATTTTTTACTTTTGTTGTATTCTCCGTCGGGATAAATAATTTGGGTGAACTAAATGGTTATTTTGTGTCCCATCGCAAATGTAGGGGCTTAAAATTTTACAATTTAGTATCTGTATAAGACATCTTGATTATGCTTCCGGGCATTGTTTTATGTCATTTTTTTTTTTTAACTTTGAAAACCTTCATTCCGTATGACTTTTTGTTACATAGACGATCATGCATAATTGTCTCTAGAATTTTAATCTTGGCGTTCTTTATTATATACGTAGATGTTAGTACTTATAATATATGCAAATATTTTTGTTTATTCTTAAAATAGATTTAGTGACAAGTATGTTTGCATGCCAGTAAAATGTGAATATTATTTATTTGTGTGAATGGTTAAAGACATTGAAACTGACACCTTGACAGTTGCTGTTTGTGTGGGGAAAAAAGAAAGGAAAATCTAAGAACCTTTTACACAATCTGTTGTACATATTAAAATGATAAATAAAACTGACTTAGGAATTAAATAAGAATTTTGAATGAGATTTGTTCTTTTGACATGAAAGTTTAATTTACTAGCTCATATAATATGTTATTTTGAACATCACCATATTGCTATCCAAAAGAAATATAACTTATTGATTTGGAGTTGAAGGTTTTTGTATTTTTCATTGAACTGGGGAAAAAATTCATGCATAAAAGAGGAACCATTAGGTGTCGTAAATTAGCATGTAAGAAAATTTTAAAGTAAAATCCTATGATTAGTATATACACATATATGAAGTTATAGAATTGTTAATTTATAGTGATGAATGCTGTCAGAGTTGATGCTTGTTTAAAGTATGTAATATAAATAATATTTTGTAATGTATTTGTGTATGTATGTTATATTTATGCTGCAAACTTTGCTTATTAGAAATAAATGAACAACTTTTAGTACCAAGTAATTTTTATTTAGTTTCATGTTGAAAGTATGTTTTTGAAAATGTGCATATTAGGTTATCGTCTCTTTTCCATTTAGAAAAATAACAGCTAACACAATTTAAAAATTTTCTTAATAAAATTTTGTTTCAGTTTTAATTGACTTTTTTTAAGCAAGAAATGCAGTTTTTATACCCTAATGATGAAATGAATTGTATCCTGCTTGACTTTTGTTGAATGAATGTGGAACAACAATTTTTAATGTATACAATGTGATTGTTGATATCTGTTGTAGGTTATACTTTCACATGATTTACTTGTGTATGATAGGATTTGAAGTATGCAGAAATTAAATTATGCAATAAAGATTTTGTTTTTTAAAATTGTTCATTATTGTTATAGCATGTCTGGCCATTATGCCAGTTTAGCTTATGGTTTGACTCACATCAAATGCATTGCAGGTGTACGACTCTTAAAGCCATTTTACTGATTTTTATCAGTCTTGGAGTAAAGGCTTATTTTGTCAAGATTTCGTAAAGTTGAGCAAAAACTGATCCACACATAAATGGGGTCTTTGTACAGCTGATAGGTGGAGCTTTTGACAATCTTGCAATTTTGTTTCTGATCTTATTTTGGTAAAATTAAGTGAATTGGCTTATGTCAACACAATCTCAAATGAATATAATGACAAAAATCTATGCATATTAATGGAATGGTCTTGCATCCAAGTGGCTGAATCTCCCAAATGAGACATATATCCATCCAAGTCTTGATCAAACTTTTTTCAAATAAACTTACATCATCTGCATATTAGACATCTTTTTACTATGAGCAAGATCCATGCATGTTAATGGGGCTTGTTCTAGTAAAACTGGATCCAGGGAGGGCACATTCATTGTGGAGTAGTTGCCCTTAGATACTCTTTAGAAGTTTATTTCATTTAAGAAGAAAAACGCTCCAGTAGCCTAGTGGTTAGAGCGTCCACCTTGGATGCGGGAGGTTGTTGGTTCGATCTCTGGTCGAGTCATACCAAAGACTTACAAAAATAGTACTAACAGCTGCCTCGCTTGACACTCAGCATTAAGAGGTTAGTGTTAGGACTGGTTGGCCTCGTGTCAGGATAATGTGACTGGGTGGGACATCATGCTACATGTCTGCTGCATGATGCCCCAGCGCTAGACATCACTATAAACTGCCACACCACAAACATTGTAGCAATATGAGTGAAAAATTGTTAAAGCTACGTTAAAAATCATAATCACATACTAATTTGAGAAGAGTAAATAAAATATCAATGTGTATATTTTTTAAAAACTGCCTTCCTGATATACTGTGTATATTTAAAAGGAACAGTCTTGAGCTAATCTTTTAACTGAATGTATTTATGTTGTAAACATACTCCAGACTTCATTATTGAAGAACTTTGATCATTGTCCAAGATAACTTCCAAAGTTTGCACCTCTGTCTCAAATACAAAATGAAGCTTGGTTGAGATTTGTTCTAGCAAAGACACTGAATACAGTTTCATAAATGAGTTATTCATTAATAAATAATTGAACGAAGAATGAGTCCAACACTATACCATGCACATTGTGTATAGAGGCCATCAATGCATTTATGAGAGGATGTACACAGCTAAAAATGGACATGAGAAAATACCATCATTTGGAAATAAAATTAATTGAAGTCTGTAACTTCAAACAGGCAATCTAATGTGATGGAATTTAAAACAAAAATGATTGAACTATGGTGATGTCATGATGGAGGTCAATGTTTAGAATTTATACACATATTAATAGTATAATTCAACAAGAGACATAAAATGACATCATTTGTAAATGAAACAGGCAATCTAAGGAGATGGGATTGTAACAAAATTGATGTATGGATCTGTCATGATTGAGATATAGACTTTATATACATTAATAATAAGATTTGTGGACAATTAAGACATAATTGAATTTTACTTGTTTATCAATATTAAATTATTTAGAAAATTGATCATCTGGAACTCTTTCCATCTAGTTTACAATCATGGAGTATTTACGATTTTCTGGTTCCACACAACTCTCATTAAATAGTTAATGTCTAAGCATGAATGACCCACCATTCAGACTGCCAAAGGATCCCTTGAGAGCCTTTTCATTCCGTTGGTCTTGAATCTTTGGTCCCTTACTGTCAGTAAACTAATATCATCCCCTGAGACAATGTTACCGTAACAGTCACGACAAATAATTGTTTCAATATATCATGAACATTTTGAATACAACTACGTTGTTGACAAAACACGATATTTGAAATTAGATTAAATGGATTCATTTGCGAAGCTGGAAACGCCGCGGTAAGATAAATAAAGTAATGTACATTTCTCATAAACACTTCCTATATTTAAAATGAGTTTAAATTTGAGACTTGGATCTTGTGCATTACAATACACAAAGGAACATTAATTTAATGAAGAAATCTAGATAATAATACTAAAATAGTTATACTTCTTTTCCTATGTGAATATGAGCCCAATACACAACTAATACTTGTTAATAGAGGTGAATCTTGAACTCATTGAAGATAATTAAATATTACAGTATTTACCTTTATCATTCGATTTAATATTAATGATTTAATTTAACTGATTCTTTTAAATATATTCAATCGTTCTTTATATAATTTTTTGTTTTTCATCACATATACTACATGTTTATCTTTCTGTTTTTACATTTTCTCCTTATGAGGGGTGAGGGTGGTAACTCCTCTAATCGCCAACGTCTTTATAAGGTAAAATTTTTCTTGGGACAAATGTTGGCGCTCTAACTAGTTTTGACAGGATGGATATATATATATATATATATATATATATATATATATATATATATATATATATATATATATATATATATATATATATAATGTTACTGTATGATATCTTGTAATATTGATCGATATTTTCTTGTTTTCGATTTATGATTGACAGATTTATCGTTTCTGTTTAACGGATGCTTTCAGCTTGCCGGATGACCATCTTTGATCTTTTCAGCATCAGGGAGGATATCATCTGACATAGATTGTGCATTCACGACGTGTCTGCAGATGTCACTGTCGTCAAATATGACTCACACTTTAAAATCATACTCTGTTCAGCTTCACAATCCATATACGAATTCGAATTATCCGGGGTGTTTGCGGTAGACCATTGCTTTTCGCCTTTTATTCGGTACATCGTTTCCAAGCGCTGAATATCATTTTCAAAGCTTTTTGGTTTAACCCACGCCATTTTGACAGGATATGACAATCGATATTTGCGGCAGAGGTTCCTCGGTTGTTTTGGGGTCATTTTTATTCTGGACACCTTAAAATAAACAATAAAAGAGTCACATATTTGGAAAATATATGTGCAAAAGTGTGGTATGGAAATTAAATACAACTACCGAATGAAACCTGGGTTTTGATAGAAGTTTTACAATTTCTTACTTAGGCAGTATTAAAATTGAGGGACTGTAGGCGTGTATACATGCATTTATGTGCGTACCTTAGTTATTATGTAGTTAGATACGTAGATGCATGTTTGTATGGTGGTAGCAATAAATGTATATATTTAGCTGTATACGGGCAGGTAGGTATATATGCAGACATGTAGATAAGTATTGACGATCAGACGGAGAAATGAATTTATTATCGGGCATTATATTTGTGATTGACAGGTGAAAACATCAACAAGACAAAGGCGTATCTTTGTTGGAAGTTAATATAAATTTTATAATAGTGTTGAAGAAAAATAATCTTATTTAATATAAATATGAACTTGGCACAGGGTTAATTCTTGCAGATACCATTATGAAAGAACGATCTACCATGAGGAGAGTAATGTCCACCTGTAAAACTGGAAGACGATCGTGCGATAAAGCACAATAAATGATTAAGACAATGAACTTATACTATACCAGTTCCATTGATTTGGTATGAAATATTTTTATAATTACAAGCATTTTTTATGTCCTTATTTCTTTAACAAACAGTTATGATTTAGGAACCTTACATGATTCCACACAAATGCGTACAATATTGATGCAGTACTGTTCATACAATATTTTGACATCATACTGCCTATATCTACTTCAGAATGTTGGTTATAAAATGAACTGCCGTTTTAAAGCATCAAACGTCATTCGAACTTTTTGTATCGAAGTTTCTTACATTTTAAAAGGCGTTTCTGTCAAGTAATGTTTGTTCATCGAATGTTGTATTTGTCAATTGATAATAGGTGATTGCTTTCCGGCACTGATTTCTGCTATCCTTTAAAATTAGATGCGAATTTAAGGACATTGACCTGGCATTCGATATGTTCCTTGTTATTGCAAATATCTTATAAAAAGGCACACCAATACTACTTTTACAAATTTGTTCATATGGAATGAACATTATTGATGATTAAAACATAATTTCGGCAAATTCATTTCTTGAGGGATTTATTATACAAGATGAACAAGAAATTAAGATGTAATTAGGCAAGTACAATCCAACAACAGTTTGAAAATGCATTACCAAAAATAAAATATATAAAGAGAGCTACTGTTTATCCTGAGGAACGTAGGGCATAAGTCCCTTTTTTGCCATTTGGTGGTTCACAATTTGGTATGCTTACTTTTGCAAAGCCACATGTTATCACACATTAGGTATGATTCATTTAGGACAGTCACACGATAACATACTTTAGATATGACCGCACAATAGCAAACATTAGATATGCTGCCTTTAGCATTCCCAGAATATGTCAGAAGTACGTTTGCAAGAGTATGCTTCCCATGAGTAAAATAGATTCGTCAGTCAATGTACATGTAGTTATCTGGTCTATTTTGTGTTCATTTCTAACAATTATAGCGTTAAAACGTAATAGTTATATGTAATAATAAGTACAGTTTGGTTATTCCATATTGATCTTCATTCATAATAAACAAACACGATCGTTCTCCTGCCAGGTACCGTGACTACGTAGGAATTAAATTTAACTTATCGATCAAAATTTACTACCCATATCAAAAAAGTAGTCCATGTTAAATCATGCCTTATGCATATTCCAGACTGGTGTTCAACCATGTCATCCAGGTAGCCATCGGAAAAACATTTGGCAATGTATAGTTCGATTTCATTTAAATAAATTAAGAGGTTGTAGGCATAGGTCACACGTAGAAACGATAACTGATACAATGTGACTAGTTTAATGCTTTGAACGGGTGGAACCTTATCTCTCTTGTTCTCTTTAATGACATATATCAAAGGTAATATCAAATGTATAATTTGTGGAATACTTGCCAGTAGATAGCTGCTTAAATAGAATTTCATGTGCTGCGTTCCGTTTGCCCATCTAATAACGTCTTCAAGGACTGCAACAATAGTTGCTAATCTGTAAAACTTCTTACATGGATTTAAAAAGCAGAATTTTATTAAACAACAATTAATGTTCTATTTGGTATAAAGCATGTCAATAGTAGATATTTCTAATTATAAAAAGTACAGACAATTAACGTGAACGATGCAATAAATATAACTTACTTTGCATTGGAAAGGACTACATTACAATAACTGATTTTAATCGACTCAGATGTATATCCTCTGTCATGAGTTTTCGCCGGTGTCCAAATATTTTTCTTTGTTTCCTTCATATTCAGCTAATGGTTAGAAAAGTACGTGTACAACAAATGACTTGAGAATGAACATTTTATGCTACCGGTAATGGTCAGCACATCACAAAGTTTTGCCTGTAATACTGTAGCCTACAAAATTCGTTAAAATGTTATGTTCATATGCTTCAGAATTGCCCAGTACAAGCCAGAAATAAAGTCGTTCCACAAGCTAAACACTGTCTCTTTTCATTGCATAAAACATTGTATACATTTTTTATCCTACTAAGCAACCGTATATTAAATACTTAAATACAAATTTTTGCAATTTGTAACAACTACCATGTCCATTTTTCGTCTAATCTATCCTTTAGTGTATTAATTGGTAAAGCAAACAGCTTACAATGTACTA